TTCCCAGTATTAGGAAAGAGAAGAAGAGGATGACTAGCACCAAGGTGGAGGGAAGGTTTAGTTACAGTAGCGACGAGTGCACCATTGGAAATGGTGAAGGACCAGGTTAGGGACAGATCATCAGGGAGAAAATCTATGTGGTTGCTTACAGTCAACAATGACTTGATGGCATGTAATCAATCAATTACAAACTCCTAAGATGGAGTTCATCAGATAGAAGCAGGAATGTTCTGACTAGGACAATGTCCTCTAGAGTGCTTTTGGAAAGCTCCTCTCTGTGACTAAATAGGAGCCTTCATTTCTGCTCTTCCTCTGGGACTCACAGCTTTCACCCTGTACCTACACACACTCTGACATACTTGACCCTCTTGACATGCTTCCAGTGCACAACTCCTCAAAACATTTTGTAAGCATTCATGTTCTTCCCAATCCCTTTAAACATCCACCCTCTTGATCTGACATGGAAGGCATCTACATGTTTCTACTCAAGCATTACTATTTCCAGGAACAGTAATTAATTCCCTGTAATTTGGACCACACAAGAGTTCTATGGAGCTCATAAAATAAAATCTGGACAATGCCATGAGGTTCTCTGCAAAGAAGTCTAACCTTAACCTTAACTTGCCCTGAAACGTAATTTTTCATCACTTCTTCTAAGCCAGAATTATCACTGTTCTATCTCCCAAAGGATGGTGATTTTCCTAGCCACATGCTTCAGTACAAAAGGCCAGGAGATGGTGCTCAAAAACTCCTTTCCTGCCACGTCCACTTTTACATGCTGGTAAAGTGTGCAGGATGCAAAGGCTATATATCTTCACCTGTCAGGGTTAGGATGGAGGGTATCAAGTAAAGGCATCCGCTGGAAGAGAAAATTACCAAGGTTGAGGTAGGGGGGTGCAGACTGTTTTTCACTGTTATTTTCCCAAGATCTATCTATCTATCTATCTATCTATCTATCTATCTATCTATCTATCTATCTATCTAATCTATCTATATCATCTTAAGCCTACAACCCAATGGTTTCCTGCTGATCTTTCATCTAAGTATTATAGGTCCAGTTTGCTTAGTTTTCTTTTCAAGATTCCCAAGGTTGACTAAGTGATGCTACAAGCTGTGATTCATGCAACACATATCCACAAAGCAGGCCACATTTTTGAACATCTTCATCAAGCCATTATCTACTTCCTTAGCAACACTCACAAAATGGCCAGGCCATGCATTTTGCTTAACTGAAACATCAAAAACTAGGCAGATCCAATTGTGTAGAAAGAAATCAATGCATCTTGCTTTCGAGTCACCATTCATTATTGCATAAGCTGGTAATAATCTTCACCTCCATCCAAAAGTGACCTTTCTAGATCCTGTAACTGTGGAGCTACAAGCGATTTAAAAAAGATAACGTGAAGATTTCAGTGTTTCTTCTCTTTCAGATATAAAGGAGACACAAAGACATTTGACAATAACTCCATCATACAAATGCCCTAGAGAGCCATAACAACTGCATTACTCTGCCAGCTTACAGAAAAGTGCATCAATGTATAATGTATGAACCACCTCCTGGAGCACACTTATAAGCCAGGAATTCATGAACCACTCAGGCCCTAATCTTAGTTCTAATACTTCTCCAAACACCTAGTGCCACAAAGCTTCTTTGAGTTGAGTTTGACTCCTGGTGAATTCACAAACCCATCTATGCAGTATTCTTAGCAACAATATGGAAGTGGTTTGCTGTACACCAATGGCATGGCTCAAAATATCATATTTTGAACATATTATTGCAAAGACCTAGTTCTCTTGAGACGTCTGTAATGCTGGGAAAGATGGAGGGAAAGATGGAAGGAAACAGAAGATGATGATGACCAGCAACAAGGTGGATGAACTAAATTACAGTGGTGGTGGTGCACCATTGGAAGTCCTGAAGGACCAGGTCCAGGACAGACCATCCTGGAGAAAATCTATCTGTGTGATCACTAAGAATGAATGCTAACTTGATACAGCATAATCAATCAATCAATCAATCAATCAATCAATCAATCAATCAATTTGTTGTGTGCCTCTGAGTCTCAACCAATTGGGGTGTTTATAAATATTGCAAATAAAGAAAGAAATATTCCCACCCCTCAATGGCTGGATGTTTTGTTATTCAATTATTTCCTCTTGGCTCTCTGATTTTTCTCCATGAGGGACACAGAGAAATTCTGCTTTAGCAACTTCTTCCTTTTACATTCAGATTCTTTACACACATCCATGACTTGTGCAACTTTACAAGCTATGCCTCAGTGCTATTTGATGACACAACAAAGCAGTCTTCAGTTCAAACTGAAACCCCAGATCTGAAGGGTCCCTTACTGTACAGACAAAGATTAAACTGTATCCTTCTGCAAATCAAAGAACAAAGAACAATGCCATAAACTTTTGAACTGTTTCGACGGAAATCAAGTTGCTATTCATAGAGCCCAGTCTGCTGAACTTGAAAGAAAGGAAACAACAGTAGACCTGCATGCTCATAAAAGTGGGAGCAATTTCACATTGCTCAGAAATGTGGATGAAGGGTCAGGATCCAAGCCCAATGACTGCAACTTGTCCTTTCCATTTAGGTGTTATATAACCCTCGTAAAGCTCCAGGTGAACAAGTTCCATCCCTCCATTGCCACACCAAATGTATATAACAGTTGAGTGGAATTGCTTTAGGGGTACGGTTTTAACAATAATTGTAATATTTTGGACACATTATGTGAGGATTCTAGCTCTCTGGAAAAGTCTCAAATGCTGAGAAAGGGGGAAAGTAAGGAAGAAGATGATGAATAAAAGGGTAGTCAATTACAGGGGTGATGGGTACACCTCTGGAAGACCTTAAGGGACAGATCATCTTGGAGGTCTACCTATGTGGTTGCTAAGAGTTGACACTGACTTGATGGCAATTGAACAAACAACCAATACAATATTTCCCCCAGCTGGAGACTTGCAGTCTCCATTCTTAAGGATCATAATTCAAAACCAATAAAGGCACTGGAGTATGTTTTTAGCAAATTGTCCTTCACCAAGTATTAGAGGCTCCAGATCTCCTGGATCAAACTTCATGAGGATAGAGTCAGTAAACAATACAAACAAGCAGAGATTTCAATCACTGCTTTTAAGAATAAAGATTTCCTTAGTGAATGTCTGGAAAGAAAGCTAGTTAAACTCATACACTGATAGAAAAACACAATTTAAGGGACACATGGCTCTTACAGTATGTACAATACTTCAGATGCGATTCCAAAAATGCCTTTAGTGCACACAAGAGCACAAACTTAACACCTGTCTCCAACTCTTCTAAACAGTTTTATCTTTTCTTGGGAAGTGCATCTCTCTCTTTGTCCTTGGCAGCTGTTCTGTGATCCTAGAAAAGCTATGTTTGCCCACTTTTAGCCAAGTAAACATGTCATGAAGCAGACACTTTGATTGCCATAACAGATCACCTTTCCAAGTATGCGCTCCAGGACCTGTCCAGTTCTGACCACTAGTTATACCAGATCTGGATTATACATATCAGCAAAGATCTTCCTAAGTGACCATCTGTACTGAATGCCAAATGGGAAGCTATGTCACACACATGGGTGGAGGCAAGGTTTTCTGGTTCCTCCCCTTCCCTCCCCTCCACAGTTTATGATGGATGTATGATGGACTTTCTAAAAGGCTTTGAATCTACTTTAGGACACACACTAGCATTTGTGAATTTCCTCTCTCAAAATGAGAAGCTTTGCTGCCGATTTTCAACAATTGTGCCACTGACATTTGAATTTACAGAAGGGTAAGGCTGGCAAAAAATGACATCTGATGTCACAGGTAGCCCATTTTTTAAGAAACCACTCCCATTTCAGAGAAACTGGCTTCCCAGGGTTATTGACCTTAAGTGTATAGATCTATCTCTTAAAAAGAAAAGCTCTCTACTAACAGCCATTTTTGCTATACCATCAGGCCCAATGTGCTAAAACAATTCAGAATGACAAGCCTTTTCAGTTATGCCATCTTTGCTCTTTAATTAATTTAGCAAAATGTTATTAATTATAGTCTACAACTAACACCTCAGAAACACTGTTATCTTCTTAACAGCATCTCAGTAAATTATTTCGACAGACCCAAGAGAGCTGTCACCAAAGATTATATTCTGTCACCAGAATATAAATGCAGCTTAAGAAGAAAAAAGATTCAATGCAATTTGTTAATCATTCAAATTCTGCATGAAGAAGATAGTTAAGACCATTGACAAGTTATTTCTCGGTCAGATGCGTCTTTTTCCACTTACTTTTCTGTGTCCTCAGAATAATGAGAATAATAATAATCTGATTCCAGCACAATGTTCTTGCAACTTCAGGTATTTATCAATGGAACCATAGTAACATGGTTGTGCTGCCTAGCTGGCCAATCTTGGCTGATTTCAAAAAGCTAAGTAGAGTCAGCTCTGGTTAGTACACGGATACATGGATGGGAAATCAGCAGGAAATACCACAGTTGTATGTTGTAGCTAGACTGGAAGTCAAAAAAATTGTCAAGTGTATGAAATCACTTGAAGTTCAGCTCAAAAAAGTTGTTGATGTTAAGATTCAAGTTCCTTATTACAAAAACTGAGTACAAGATTTTATTCAGTTATTTGTTTATGAGGAATAAGTTATCCAGGACAGAAATATATTGGAAATCATAAATTATACCGGTGAAGCATCTGAACGGGCGCCTCAGATGGCTGATCTGGTCTGGTCCCAGAAGATAAGAAGGGTCAGAGGTGGGTCATACTTGGATGAGAAACCACCAGAAAACCTCAGAACTGTAAGCAAGAATGAGAAGTCCCCCCCCCAAAAAAAAATCTCACAAGAAGGCAAGGCCAAACACGGCTGAAAAACGAAATCAACGTCTTCACGAAGTCATGAGGAGGCAGGCTCAATTTATGGGCGTCCTTACTTTCTCAATTGACAAGGTGAATTTTTATTTCCCAGAGAGGGAGAAAAACACTTTGGACTTACCCAGAAGATGATGTTGTAGCTGAAGAGGAGATATTTGTACCAACAGCTGATTTCGGCAGAAGGATACCGGTAGTAGTGCATCTTTTAGAGTGTAGCAACTGTGCAGAACCAGGGAGAGAGAATCACCAGTTAGCAAGACAGAAGTCACCATATTCGGATTATGCAGCTATCCAAGGAGGTCCAAATTAGCTGAATGAGCCACAAGGAAATCTTCAGAGCATGCAAGTTTCCAAGTGGTCAAATTTATATAGGAAGTTGACACTATTTTGGCTGGTGCACAACAGACCTCTTTGCCCTTCCAAACATTTCTCTACTTTTGGTGGGAAGGGGGAGCCTACACCCCCCTTTGGGCAGCACTGATTGATGTTAAAAAAAAAGAAAAGAAAAGCTGAGATGGTGAAACAGAAACCTAGAAATCAACATCACTTTGACATCACCAGCTGTTAAGTCCTTGTTTTTAATAACTACAATTATTTACCACAATAGTGCAAATTTAATGTGCAAAGCCCAACGTCATGTAGTTTTTAATCTTTTGCCAAGATTACAACAATAATTCTCTGCCCTAATGAAGCAAACAACAACAAAAAAGAATAAAACTTTTACAATAAAAAATGACTTTGGTTAATGGAAGTATGGATTAAAACATTTTTGCTGTTATCTGTCTCAAGGTAACAAATAGCGGTAAACGAACATGACTGTAAGGTCAGAGTTAAGGCAGTCTTTGAATAGTTTCTCCTCCAGAATGCTAGGAACCTGAAGGTTAAGATTAATGCCTTTGCAAATATTTCTGATAATTAAGAATTAGGTGCAATGCGATCAACTTCGCTGGTTAGCATTTCCCCCAACTGCAACCACAGCTGCCTTGTTTTTTCATGCCAAATTCCAGATGGAAAGCATAAAATGCCAGCAGTTTTGCCAAAAATATAACAAACTAAAAAGGTAGTCAAGTTCAGTGGATTATTTTGCAAAACTCTGCCAGCTTATCTCACAGTTCCATGCTTAACTGTGGCAAGCTACCCCAATAAATTATCCTCAATACGTAAGCAACGGCTTCTAGACATGGGTAAAAGATCGAGAATGTTTATGCCTTCCTTGCTCTTAAGGTTCACCATACTTCCTCTCTTACTTCTTGTGTATTTTTATTTTGAGTTCTGATCCGTCGTGAGTCACATTGTGTTAGGATAGTATTGGGGAACGTGGGTTAGTTTTCTTACTGAGGACATTTGATTGAATTTTTGTTATGTTTCTTATTATAGTTGACAGGTGTAATGCTATGTTGTTACAAGCTGGGTGAGTTCTGTTATTTGATGGTGTACGTGTAATAATAGCAACAACAGTAACTGTAGTAATTTGGAAAGCCTCAACCAGCATATAACAAAAAATTGGGGGTCACCTGCAATGCAACTTCAAATAATGCTGAGTTTGGAGATAGTTTGTAGCCACAATAACAAGGGGTTTCACTGGACACATATCATGGTCCCTGGGAAAGACCAGCAATCAAAGTCTAGTGCAAGATAGGAATGTATTCATCTACAGCACCACAGACTGTAAAAGTGAATGTCCTGGAAATGTTTAGGGCAGCAACTCTGTTTTTATTAGAGCCCTTTCTTTAAATCAGGAAGTAAAAAGGACATATTTAATTATTTTTGTCTTTTTGTGATCAAACAGAGACATAGATTCCTTATCAGACCATGGAGTGGGGTAACAAGGTAGCTTCACTAAGTTCCTAAACTAAACAAGAAAAATAGGGATGGTCAATTTCAAAGAGTTTTGTGATACTCTCTTAATCCAAAGGAATCCTACCAACCATTTAAAATCGCCAGGCCCTTCATTCAGCAAATTCTGTCCTATTTTTTGTGCATATTCTTCTTTCAATCAAAGCTGGTAATCCAACATTTGTTCAATTTGAGGAATCAGGACATGCATACAAAAGAAGCAGAGCTTACAGTGCAACACTGCTTTCCACATTGGCCTCCTTGACCCTGGGTGGCCATTGTGGAGAAGAGACTTTCCATATCCTACTCTTGATCTGGTCTGACAAGGCTTACTCTCTTAAATTTGTGGCTTGTTTCCCTTAAATGACAAATCTCTACCACAGCAAGAGAGATGAGGCTGCCTGAAAAACAAGTGTTAGCTGTGTCTATCAGTTTTTGTCAAGTTTTCCTTTGAAAGGCCTTGACACTAGCCTCACTTTACAACTTTGAGCTTCCCCAAGACACAGCCTTAAAGATGTGACAAATGGCTCAGAGGATGTTGCCGGTATATAAATCAAATTGTTCAGACACATTATGGGAAGACCCAGCTCCCTAGAGAAGGCTCTAATGCTGGAAAAGGTGAAAGGAAAGAGAAGAGGAAGACCAACAGCAAGATAGAGAAGACCAACAGCAAGAAGAAGAGGAAGACCAACAGTTATAGTGGTGATGGGGACACCATAGGAAGACTTCAAAGACTACATTAGGGACAGGTCATTGTGGAGAAAAATCTATCCATGTGTTCACTAAAAGTCAACCAATGACTTGCTGGCACATGATCAATCAATCAAATCAAATTGGCCAGCGTGTAAATGAAACCTCTAATCTTCCCTTCTTCACACAAAGTTATGGCAGCACTAATGCAATAAAGCAAAGCAGTTCAAAATTGTGCAAGGAAACCAATGAATGAGTAAGAGGAAGAGAGGGCTTTAAGGAAAGACTATCCATTCAGAAAGAAAAGGCAAAGGGAACCTTTTAATTGTGTAGATAAATTCAACAGCTGCTTCTCATAATTTGCCAGAGTGACTGCATACCTGAAGTCTTATCCGACAATCGGGAATTTTTATCTGGCCCTCAGAAGAGCCAAATATTAGTGATGTCCTCTTTGCTACCCTGGAGAGCCTGTTCCTTCAGTGTACAGAGCCCATGACCTGTATTAAAACAGGCAGCGGCCAGGTCCATCACAATTCACATGAGTTCAATGAAACCAGGCTGAGCTGACAAATACAAAATCAAAATAAGGAAGCCGAGGCACAATCTCAGTTCTGCATTTTGTGTTCCTGCCTCACCATCTGCAAAGAAATTGTACCCAGATACCAAATCAGAACTCACATCTAGAAAAAGGGAGCAGCCCCCTGCCATTTCTGGATAGATGTACGAGCAAACTTCGATCAAGTTTGCACAAAGGAAGTGCTGAGGATAATATGGGGCGGGGGGGAGAGAAATATTTGCACCCCCAGCAGCTTTTTTTCTTTTGAGTTTAGTTCCATTGGAATCTCCACTGTGTGTGACTTTTGCACCTGGGATCCAAATCTGGTTTTCCTTCCCCCAACTGCTCTCTGGCTCTGTTTAGGTAACAACTCCCACAATTCCCAGCTACGCAGATACTGGAGAAGGCTGCTGTACCAAGAGTGAATAGAAATAATGATATTTAACTCACAGCCAGGCGTGAGCTTCTCTCCCTTAGAACTATCTGAGTAGAGCTGACAGTTGGGTGCCCAAGAATATGGCTGCCTTGATCAGGGTTCCATGGGTGGTAGAAGATTCTCAGAGCAGGCAAGCAGAGAATGTAAACATGCAACTGTCATCAGCAAGCGAGCGTGAGCAAAGCTAATACTTTACTACCCAGGGAAAGGAATGGGAAAATATGCACAGAATTTGAAAGTAGGAGTGTCTATAAATTCTGTCCCAGCTCTCCTGACTGCTCAGAGACGGTCAACCCTCCCCTGAATTACAAGGTTTAGTTCCCAGAAGTGCTCGTCCAACCCTCTAGAGAGACCCAGCCTTGTTAGTGCCAAACTCAGGGGAGTGGGACAGCTATAGCAAGCTTGGCCATTTGCAAAATGGCTACCAGTTTGTTCTCTTTCTTCTTCTTCAGACCAATCCCACCATTCTCCATCTGCCTCCTCCCCATCCCAAGAGTCATTCAGTTAGCTATTATTGAGTCTAATTAAATCTCTGAGAACTGTACAGAAAAATGCTTGGCATGGACTGGTTTTCTGCAAAAACCTGGAGCTCTCCTGAGGACATTCCGACCATCTCTTTGATGCTGGCCATCCACGTTATCTTCCCCTCTTGTGCTTCTCTCAACTTTGCCAACAGTTATCATTCTTTTTTAGCCCATCAGCTGCTTTCATCCTATGCTCTAAGCAAGAACACTTTTTCTTACTGATCATTGCCTTAAGGGGGCAATCAGTTTTTATTTGATCCCAGACTGACTGGTTCTCCTTGCAGTCCACAGCACTGTTTTTTAAAAAAACCTTCAAGATGAGATTGGCTCTAATCTGAGATAAACAGAAGTGGACTCTGCTTTTTCATGGTGAAATTATTCCATTCCATATCCAGAGAATTAGATTCTAAATTCATATTTCCCAGACATGGCTCTAAGCAAAATATATTAGCCTTCCTCCTACACAATTAGCACAAGCCATAAACAGCTGAAAACTGTAAACATTACAGTTTGCACTGAGCAATGATAGACTGATCATATCTACCTTCAGACCAAGTTTTTCCTTTTGGCTTTTGTTTTCAGTTGATATGAGTAAGTTATGGGGTGGATACACTTAAGGATCTTCTACCCTAGTTTTAATCACTTGTCTTGGACAAGTATTCATTTCTACAAACGTCTTAATGAAGAAGTGGGGATAAGGACTCAGGTAGGATAATGGGGTTAAGTTACAGGATGAAAAAGTTGGAGCAGATTGGATGGACATCTCACCCTAACCCCTTGAACATCAGGAACGGAATCATCTCTAGATGGTAGATGCTGGTTTGGCCTTGGAAAAACAGAACATCACTTTAATTTTCTTGAAGTCAAATTTTTCTTACTGAAGAACAGTGAAAAAACAACAACTTAGGGAGGAAAATCACATGACCTGAGCAGCTGCAGGAAATACAAAACTCAGAGTGCTTAAAGCACAACACACGTGCGCTCTCTCTCTCTCTCTCTCTCTGCTTTCTTCTCAAACCCACATTTCAAGAAGAATTACGTTAGCTCTCTTACATCCAACCCCCAAACTCCCAGGACCAGATATATAGAAAGTGGTATGAAAACCAAGGCAGTTTTCATACTGCAAAAAGACAAAGAATGATTGGTTCTAAAATGCTGTCTAAGAACAAACCCAAA